GGAGGGACCCGCAGCGCGGCGGCGGGGAGCGACCACCCGCCACACCGTCCGCTTTGTGAGCGCGAGCGAGCGCCCCTACCCTTCCGACAGGGGCGCCGGGCGCGGCCCGCGGCGGCGAGGACCCGGGTGGGCTCGCGCTCCTCGTCGCTGGAGAAGTCCTGGGGCCCTTTGCTGTTTGCGCCGGCGGCGAGCGGCGGCCGGTTGCGCGCCGTGAGGTGCTGCAGGTAGAGCTGCACGTACACGTCTTTGCGCTGCTCCCCCGCCGGGAGCGTCACATTGTTGGCCACCAACTCACTCTTCAACTTCTCCTTCGTCAGGACCGAGGGGTCTTCCAGGAACTCCGGCATCTCGGCGGCGAACCCCCTGCCCCGCAGCCGTCACTCCGGTGCTCACGCTGGCGCGCTCGCTCCTCGCCTGGGGTGAGGGCTGCTGCCTCCGAGCCTCGCGGCTTCCGCTGGGGAGCAGCGCGCGGAGAAAAGAAAAGAAAAAACAAAAACGCGCACAGAAAGCAAAGCAAAAGGCGGACACAAAAGCCCCCGGCGCAGAACTGCGGACCAAGTGCAGCCCGCACCAACCCCAGCCCACACACGACAGCCAAGGAAAGCAGCCTGCTTCGCCCACGCCCCAAGAACGCGCGCCGCCATTGGCCGGCGGCCGGAGGAAGCGCGGCGCTGATTGGCCCGACGCCTCGCGCGGGTTCCATTAGCCGCGGCGCCCTGCGAGAGGCTGTGGAAACGCAGTTTAAAAGCCGCTCGGGCGGGAGCTCCGCGCCGGCCCGTTTCTGTTTCCCCTTTCTCCACCCTTCCCCTGGACGCTGATAAGGAACCAGTCGGGCTGCTTTTGTGCGCCGTTTCCTCCCCCCCACCCCCCCTCCTGTATGGAGAAGGACCTTCCTCCCCGGGTCGGGCGCCCCCGAGCTGAGCTGCGGGGACCGCGGCTGGGCCTGCCTCACTCTTGGGACAGGACCCGCGAAGAATAGCCGCAGCCCCTCCTTCCCCAGCCGCTGGCCCCGAAGGGAAGGAGCAGAAGCGAGGCGTGTGTGCGGGCACGCATCGCCCTTGATTTACTTTCGAGTAAATGTAAAACCCACGCCTTCACGTCTCGGCTTGGGAACGCTTCTTTTGTTCCTGAAACTCGGGGAAAGCCGGACCTGGACTACGGGGAACTTCAGATTGCCCTTGAATTTGTGATAAAATTGTATTGTCAAGTATCCCATTTGCTTCTGACCCTGAAGGTGGGGGCATTAATAAGTTATTACGTGCGACCAGTTAGCTGGGGTTCCGCTGTCTTTCTGTTGGGAGCCGTCTCTGAGTTACCCTCCACCTGTATCTGACCACAGTTAAAACCTGACGTGTAATGATTCAACAAAACGAAAGGAAACATTTCGGCATGCCTGAGTGGGCGACTTAAGATAAGCGAGGTGGATGGATACACACTCGGTGTTAACATGCCCGGTGACTATGAGGAGGCCGGGAAACCCTAACCACGTTACTGAATCAAATCAAAACCTGGCAGAGGCTCAGAAACGTGTTACAATTAACATATCCTCCTCAGAAATGCCATTGATGGCAAGTATCTGTATTTCTTAGGAACTTGTATATTTCACGATGCTTTCTTCCAAGAAAGGAAAGAAGCTGAGATTGGATCTAGGGTGTCTTAATCATTTACCCAGATTCTGATCTCCAAACTAGTTTATAAGCTGCTTTAAGGTGATTTTTAAACGTTTATCTGATTTCTGCATGGTTAAGTTCGAGTAGATTCAAACGCTTTCACTAAAAATGTTTCCTGTGGACTAAATCATTTTGTTCAAGAGGAGGGAGGAGACATTTCTTTTCATGAAAGGCTATTTTCCTAGAGGCAATTTTATATTTTAATTTTTTTCCTACAAACCTCAGTGTTTACATATGTTTAAGCAATAGTATTAAACTTAGTAATACTAATTAAATATTGTATTTTAATTAGCAAGCTTCACTGAATACACTGAGTGGCAAAGGACCAAGCGTTTGCAGTACTGGTAACCTCACAAACGGAATTAATGCGTGTAGGACGGTCCCGAGGTGCACGGTGCCTGCCACAGGTCAGTTACTTCTTCCAGTGTTGTTTCAAATTGTAATGGGCAGAGCAACCGAGTACTGAGCATAATCTCCGCAAGCTGTCCTGCTAAATCGTTAACCCTGCAAAGTTTGGCTCCGGCTTACCTGTACTAATAGTTTTGAAGAGGTAGGTTTTAGCTATTCTCACTGAAAAGTGTCGGAGTCACCAGGGCTAGATTTGATCTGACGGGAATGGTCTCCAAGCCGCTATGGTTTGATAATACCTGGGCAGCTGGTTGCTGACGTGGATCCTCAGAGGAGGTGGCAGGACTGACACTTAAGGATAATATTCTTCTCCCTTCATATGATGTGAGGAGAGGACAATGTGGGAGTCACAGCGCCACCTGAGAGAATCACCCGAGGGTGCTACACGGGAACTCTGTTTCCATAGGGCCTTTGCACCAGAAATTTTCCAGACAGTGTAATCTTTAGAGGCAGTAATTCATCCTATTTTTACCACAGGCAAAAAAATAAAAATAAAAAAAATTACCTGTTGTGTCTGAAAGTTGTTTTAAAATATATTTTATTGATTTTTTACAGAGAGGAAGGGAGAGGGATAGAGAGCCAGAAACATCGATGAGAGAGAAACATCGATCAGCTGCCTCCTGCACACCCCCCACTGGGGATGCGCCCGCAACCAGGGTACATGCCCTTGACCTGGGACCCATGCGTCTGCAGGCCGACACTCTATCCGCTGAGCCAAACCAGTTAGGGCTGAAAGTTGTTTTAAATAGACGTAGCACTGTGCCCTACAGGCCAGTATTAAAGATAACTCACAAAGAACTACAATCTAGATGCCTGAAGTGTTCCCTGAGCAAAAGCATCATTTTCATTCCCTGTTATTGATCATCTCACCTTTTCTTTTCCAGGGACACCGATTAACAGGTTACTTGTGGACTCTACATTTCTCAGGAGACATAGTTGATGTCATAAGCTATCAGGCAAAGAGACTGCCTTTCTACATCATCCACAAACTCGAGTTATCAAATTCAGACTTGGTATCATCCTAGGTGCATCAGTATATCCCTTGCACTACTTTTTTTTAGGGATGAACCCAGGACCCTTGTCCACGGGTTGACGCTCTAACCACATAGGCACAAAGGCCATGGACCCTCTTCCTTCTTTACTGCTATCATTTATCAACCTCTTGGCCACTCTCCCTCAGAAATTATAGACTGTTGCTCCTTGCTCTAGGTTTTCCTCACCATCTCTTTTGTCTACATTGTGTGTGAATTCAACATTCTTACAGATGACCAACACTTGGCCTCTTGGATGCTTGATCTCTCCATCTCCAAAAATTTGTTCCTCTATTCCAGTGGTTCTCAACCTCCTGGCCCTTTAAATACAGTTACTCATGTTGTGACCCAACCATAAAATTATTTTCGTTGCTACTTCATAACTGTCATGTTGCTACTGTTATGAATCATAATGTAAATATCTGATATGCAGGATGGTCTTAGGCGACCCCCTGTGAAAGGGTCGTTCGACCACCAAAGGGGTCGCGACCCACAGGTTGAGAACCACTGCTCTATTCCATCACATCCATCCACTCCAGTGTAAGAATCTGAACCTTGTCATCAATAGCTGTTTTACCTTTTAAATCTCAATTTCAAGCATGCCCGTTGTCAATTGCTATCCTTCTCCCTTTGGCTCATTTATTGTACTCTCATTGACCTAATTGAGACTTCCAATCCATTAACTCCAACACTTTCAAAAAATCTATTATCCTGCTTCTGCAATCACATAATCATGTCGAACTCATCTGACTTAGATTCCCTGATCAATTCTTGTAACCAGTCTTTTACAGACTGTTTTAACTCACTTACTCCAATGTCTCTATCTTTCTTATTTGGAAGAACCTCAACCTTGCTTGGACTGAACCCTGCTGAAACCAACTTTCTCATTGCTTACAACCAAGTAACAGATATTACTGGAGAAAATCATACAACAGGGCTGGCTGGTTTTAACTTATGATGTCAGATCTCATAGGAGCACTCAACACTGGCTGGAAAAGCTAGTAATCTGGATTAATCATTCACACCTTCACTTCTCTCCCGCAAATCACTCACATGCCTTTCCCCCACCTCTCCCCATTTTCAGCCGGTGGCCTTGTCTCATACTTGAGGAAATAGAAACCATCTATAGGGAATGCTTCAACTTCAGATGGTTAAATCTGCAATCATTTTCTCTTGCATCTTTCTTGTCTCAATGGAAGAGTTGTCCCTCTATCAGAGTGAATTCCACCACTTGAACTCTGGATCTCATACTTCTTTCTCAAGAATTTTATTCTTTCAGTCATCTCCTGTGAAATTTCTGAATTAAAAAGAAAAAGATTGGCGTTTTATTTTGTTACATTCATCCAATATAAATAAAAATTTAAAATTATCTTTTATGTTCATACTGGCATAGGTGTTGTTTTTTTAATCTTTACATGTTACAGCATTGATACCTAAAATCTTTAAAACAGTGGAAAGATATGTCTCTGTGAAGCCACAGCTTTAAAAAGAAGTTGAAACCCTGGCTGGTAGTTCAGTTGATTAGAGCATCATCCCAATACAACAAAGTTGCTTGGTTTCATCCCAGGTGTTTCTCTCTCGCTCTCTCCTAAATCAATTTAAAAAATATTTTTAATTGATGTACTTTGTGAGAAAATTCTGCCAAAACATTTTTTTTCTAAATCACTTGATAACTGCTTCCATTTTCCTTTTTGAAGTTCTTAATGCTATTAAATGTACTGCAGACTTTTTTGTTTTTTATTATCAAAACATGACATATAAAAATAACATTTTTGTTTTGCATAGGACTTAATTGTGAATTTAAGGGTGTCACCTCAAACAGAGCAGATGACGAAACACTAAAGGTCATAAAAGTCATGTTCTTTAAATTTTTTAATATGAAAGAATGTTCACGATACAGCAATAAGTGAAAAACAGACAGACAAAAAACCAGAAAAAAATAGAGAACCAATTAGGGCAGTGGTTCTCAACGTTGGCTGCACATTAGAATCACCTGGGAATCTTTTTAAAATCCTGATTGAGAACCACTGAATTAGGTTAAGATCTCAGTTCTATAATGAACTAAAGTATGTATGGATATGTGTATATTTAAAATATATACAAAAAAAGACTAAATGAATATAGACCAAAATATTTCTAGTAATTTCCTCTAGGTGTTGGGGCACAATGATTTTTATTTTTTTCCTTATGTATTTCTATATTTCCCAAGATTTTTAAAATGAATACATGATTTTATATCCATAACTACTTCTCTTTTTGAAACAGTGTGAGAAATCAGGTAATCACTTCGCTTTTCAAAATTCAGTCTGTCAGTTTTGCATTTCCAAAGGCTCCATTTTATCAGCTCATCCAGAGTATATCAGTCTTAGGTAACTGATTAAAAATAACCTCAAAAGAGAAAGCTGGCATATTAAACAGGTGAAATAAATGCTCAAAGCATTCTGTACCAGTAAATAAATCCACTT